TGGTGTTGGTTTTGGTGTTGGTTTTGGTGTTGGTTTGGGTGGTGTTGGTGGTGTTGGTGTTGTTGTTGTTGTTGTTGTTGTTGTTGTTGTTGTTGTTGGTGTTGTTGGTGTTGTTGGTGTTGTTGGTGTTGTTGGTGTGGTTGGTGTTGTTGGTGTTGTTGGTGTTGTTGGTGTTGTTGGTGTTGTTGGTGTTGTTGGTGTTGTTGGTTTTGTTGGTGTTGTTGGTGTTGTTGGTGTTGTTGGTGTTGTTGGTGTTGTTGGTGTTGTTGGTGTTGTTGGTGTTGTTGGTGTTGTTGGTGTTGGTGGTGTTGGTGGGTGTTGTTGGTGTTGTTGGTGTTGTTGGTGTTGGTGGGTGTTGTTGGTGTTGGTGGGTGTTGTTGGTGTTGGTGGGTGTTGTTGGTGTTGGTGGGTGTTGTTGGTGTTGGTGGGTGTTGTTGGCGTTGGTGGGTGTTGTTGGTGTTGGTGGGTGTTGTTGGTGTTGGTGGGTGTTGTTGGTGTTGGTGGGTGTTGTTGGTGTTGGTGGGTGTTGTTGGTGTTGGTGGGTGTTGTCGGTGTTGGTGGGTGTTGTCGGTGTTGGTGGGTGTTGTCGGTGTTGATGGGTGTTGTTGGTGTTGGTGGGTGTTGTTGCTGGGTGTTGTTGTTGGTGGGTGTTGTTGTTGGTGGGTGTTGTTGTTGGTGGGTGTTGTTGTTGTGGGTGTTGTTGTTGTGGGTGTTGTGGGTGTTGTTGGTGGGTGTTGTTGGTGGGTGTTGTTGATGGGTGTTGTTGGTGGGTGTTGTTGGTGTTGTTGTTGGTGGGTGTTGTTGGTGGGTGTTGTTGGTGGGTGTTGTTGGTGGGTGTTGTTGGTGGGTGTTGTGGTGGGTGTTGTGGTGGGTGTTGTGGTGGGTGTTGTGGTGGGTGTTGTGGTGGGTGTTGTGGTGGGTGTTGTGGTGGTTGTTGTGGTGGTTGTTGTGGTGGTTGTGGTGGTGGTGGTGGTGGTTGTGGTGGTGGTGGTGGTTGTGGTGGTGGTGGTTGTGGTGGTGGTGGTGGTGGTGGTGGTGGTTGTGGTGGTGGTGGTGGTGGTGGTGGTGGGTGTTGTGGTGGGTGTTGTGGTGGGTGTTGTGGTGGTGGTGGTGGTGGTTGTGGTGGGTGTTGTGGTGGTGGTGGTGGTGGTGGTGGTTGTGGTGGTGGTTGTGGTGGTGGTGGTTGTGGTGGTGGTGGTGGTGGTGGTGGTGGTTGTGGTGGTGGTTGTGGTTGTGGTTGTGGTGGTGGTGGTGGTGGTGGTGGTTGTGGTGGTGGTGGTGGTTGTGGTGGTGGTGGTGGTGGTGGTGGTTGTGGTGGTGGTTGTGGTGGTGGTGGTGGTTGTGGTTGTGGTTGTGGTTGTGGTTGTGGTTGTGGTTGTGGTTGTGGTTGTGGTTGTGGTTGTGGTTGTGGTTGTGGTTGTGGTTGTGGTTGGTGGTTGTGGTTGTGGGTGGTTGTGGTTGTGGTTGTGGTTGTGGTTGTGGTTGTGGTTGTGGTTGTGGTTGTGGTTGTGGTTGTGGTTGTGGTTGTGGTTGTGGTTGTGGTTGTGGTTGTGGTTGTGGTTGTGGTTGTGGTTGTGGTTGTGCTGTGTTGTGCTGTGTTGTGTTGTGTTGTGTTGAGTTTTGTTTGTTGTTCTTCTTCTTCTTCTTCTTGTTCTTCTTCTTCTTCTTCTTCTTGTTCTTCTTCTTGTTCTTCTTCTTGTTCTTCTTCTTGTTCTTCTTCTCGTTCTTCTTCTTGTTCTTCGTCTTCTTCTTGTTCTTCTGTTCTTCTTGTTCTTTTGTTTTTCTTCTTGTTCTTCTTGTTGTGGTTGTGGTTGTGGCTGTGCTTGTGCTTGTGCTTGTGCTTGTTCTTGTTCTTGTTCTTGGTGGTGGTGGTGGTGGTGGTGGTGGGTCGTGGGTGGTGCTTGTGGGTGGTGACGGGTGGCCTTGGTGGTGGGTGGTGGTGGGTGGCGGTGGTGGGTGGTGGTGTGGTGGGTGGTGTGGGTGGTGGTGGTCGGTGGTGGTGGTTGGAGGTTGTGGTTGGTCGTTGGTTGGTTGGTTGGTTGGCTGGCTGGCTGGTTGGCTGGCTGGCTGGCTGGCTGGCTGGCTGGTTGGTTGGTTGGTTGGTTGCTTGGTTGGTTGGTTGGTTGGTTGGTTGGTGGTGGTGGTTGGGGATTGGCGGTTGGCGGTTGGTGGTTGGTGGTGGGTGGTAGTGGTGGTGGTGGTGGTGGTTGGTGTTGTGGTTGTGGTTGTGGTTGTGGTTGTTTGCTGCTGCTGCTGCTGCTGCTGCTGCTGCTGCTGCTGGTCCTGCTGGTCATGGGCATGGTCGTGGTAGTGGTCGTTGTTCCGTCCTTTCTGTTGTGATCGTCGTCGTGGTCGTCGTGATCGTCATTGTGGTCATGGCCCTGTTTGTGGTCGTGGTTGTCATTGTGGTGGTTGTCGGGGTTGTGGTGGTGGTTGCCGTGCCGTGATGCTGTAGTGGCCGTGGCAGTTTCGACGGTTTGTGCGGCTGCTGCTGCTGCTGCTGCTGCTGCTGCTGCTGCTGCTGCTGCTGCTGTGCTTTGGTTGCTTAACTTGAACTAGGCTTGGGATTACATTCATGCGGGCAGCAGTTCTGCTCTTGCAACCCTGTCAGGTGGCCGAGGAAAGGTTCCCACTGCAAGCCTTGAACATCGGCTCGGGGCTCTGGGGTTTTGGATTGTCAAACTGGGCTTGTGGCTCTGCTCAAGGGGAAGAAGTGCGTGCCAATGTGTGCGCTCCAAACAGCCACGCCACCTCATAGGTTTATAGTCTTAGTTGCTAGCAGCTGCACCGTTTTCCTTGACCGATGGGTTCCGAGTCCGCATGCTTTGCAATCCTGGAGGGCATCGCCATTCGAGGTCAGATGGTGGAAGGGCGAGTGTCGGGGGCCACAGCTTGTAGCGACCGGGTGTTCCATTCTGAAAGGATGCAATGCTAAGCGCAAACCCAATCGAGCCCGTGAGATGTGCAATCTGGGCCAAAAGCATGGCCTGCAAGGACCTACATGAACGTCCGGGGGGCATCCCTGGCCTATGTGGACATTGGCGCTGAAAAAGACGCCGCCCGGGCCTCGAAACGATCTCAGGAAGTGCTTCGTGTAGAGACTTGCAATGCCGTCACGCCATGCAGGTCTTGGAGTATGGCGAGATGGAGGCGACCCACCCGCTTCGTTTGAAGCAGCTTGTTTGCTAGAGCAGCTGATGATAGCTATGCGCAAGAATTGCGTGTTTGCCGGTGCCAGGATGGTTTTCCCAGCAAGCTGACTCCAGTGAGGAAAGGCAGCAAGGCGGACACCCTCCATCCGGGTTCGGCCATCCCGTGTTCAATGCCAGGTGGAAACCCGGGTGTTGGAGTACGACGAGGACTTAGACCGCCTGTACTTGACCAGGAGGCAGTGCTTGGGCCGTGCTTGGGGTTTCTCGCCTGGTGACCCTGAAGGTTCGAGCAAATCGCGTGTCTTTTGGCGTGTTTCAGGCTAAACTTTTGGGCAACATAGAAACCCACGTCCCTCTCCTCGCCACTTGGCCGCCAGGTCCGGGAGCTTGTCGCGACCTGCCAGGCTGGCTAAGGCCGAGGAGAACCACGACCCAGAGCCCTTGCGGAGGGTTGGGGCCCAAAGGCTTCCCTGGGCGCGGGTGATGTTGGGAACACCTGGGACCCCGCCTACCCCGCCCCATGTGTGAGGGTTTTTGTGGTGCCGGGCCGAGGTTGCGGAGTCGGAATTCCTGGACGCCGAAGCAGGGGCAGCCAGTCGCTTGCCGTTGAGTGTAGATTGGGCTGAGGATTGGTTTGCCGAATCAAAAACGTTGGAAAACCTCTGTGTGTGCACGAAACTCGACACAAGAGCGTTTTCTTTCAGATTGTGTGGCGCAGGCATCACCTCACAGATTTTACACAGAAAGGTAAAGAGAAAGAGAAGGGAAAGAGAAAGAGAAGAAAACGGAAAGGACAAGGACAACACAAGAAGAAGAGACTGCATGCCAGCTTACTTGCTCAAAGTGCACAGGGTATGCTGACGGTAGCGGAGACCAGCAGGAGGTACATCATGAGATGGCCCCACCCTGGTCACAAGCTCAAGCTTGCCCGGTGCACTCCCGGCCTATCGCAACGTAGGTTTTGTGGGGATAAGCCTAATACTACTTCTACCATGTCATGATGAATCTAAGCATATATATATATATTATATATATATTTATACATATATATATATGAATGTGGGGAATTCCTTCTGATATGCTGATGACATATACTTATATGAAGAGTTAAATACCATAAGTCTGTGATTTCTCTGACATATTATTGCAATCTAGGATGTATATCCCAATCGAAACTTGGGCAGCCCTTCCCATCTCTTGCTTTTGCCTCTGAGTTCCCGGGGGTTTTCACCAGACCCCACTTGGCTGTGGGTCAAAAAATTATGTAAGATGGACCCTTGGTAAATGGAAGCATGGACTGAAAACCTGCCGTCCCGAGTCCCTGGTGTTTGGCCCCCCCGGTGTAGGGCTTTGACGCCATGGACGCGCGGCTCACAGTGCGAGTCCTGAAGGGCTTGGCCTGCAAGGTGCCAGGGTGCGGTTCAATTCTGCGTGGACAAAATGCGCGGGGCAACCGGAAGGTATGCATATACATACATATATGTACACGTATAGCCCGTATAGCTATATATATATATATATAGATACATTATATGCCATAATATGCATAGTTAATATGCTGACTTTGTCCCAAAAAGGAATCCAGGAGGCAGTGTTTTGCCTTTTTTGTGTGCGTTTCCGTTAATCCGAAAGGGATCGATCCCCTGGCAGGTGCAGGGGGAATATGAGGTGGACCGGGATGCCGTGGCCTTTGCCTTGATGCTGGCCATCAAGGAGCGCACGGGCTTGCACTGGCGGCGCCAGAGGCTGGTGGACCAGTCCACCGGGCTGCCCATCGGCGAAGGCGCCCGCTTCCGCGACGTGTTCCCGGACGGAGGCCGAAGAGAGAAGCGGCCAAAGCGCAGGATTTGGGCACCTTGGGAGTTTAGATGGAGCTCAAAAAGGGGGGGGTCAACCAGTTTCCCAGCTTTTCAGTGGAGACATCTCCAGGAGACCACCAAATCAGCGGGTTTGTGTGGCATCTTCGGACGTTTCATTCTGAATTTCGGGCTTTCCGGGAATTGCCAACGACTGGAAAGACTTTCCAGTGACTTCCCTGCTTCAAGGAGGCAACAGTTCCCATAACCGGCAGCTGAGCGGCGGAGCCCGGGGCCAAGAGTAACTCGGGTGCATCTGCGTCAGGACGCCCTTCTTCATTCTGGGTGGTGTTACCAGGAATGGAACCAACCTGCACCCATTAGACCATGTTCGGATTTCGCCCTCACCATGGTTGTTGTTGGGAAACATTATACATTTTTGCTTCTGGTGGTTTAGTGGGAAGTCCCCACTTAACTGCTATTTTTTTTGCTCCCCTTCCAGCGTCAACCAAGTCACTCCACCGCGCCCTGTGAGGGGAGGCGGAGGTTCTGCTGGTGCACTGCGACAGCTCCGCTCTGCCGCCCATCGAGGACCGCGACACCGTGCTGGCCATGGTGCGCCTCTGCGGAGAGGCGCTGGCGGCAGCCTCCAAGGAGCTGAGGGCGGACAAGGCGCGTTGAGGGCGCCCGAAGTGGGGGGGGCGGCTAGGGGCCTTTTTGTGAAATCGGCGGGTACGGGAAGAATGATAAAGTCGCATTTTGTTTTCATCATGAGAATGATGCTATGACTTGGACTTGCGCAACTCTGGCTAGAAAACCGCAACTTTTCAGTGCCAATACAAAATACACTTCCTCTATTCCAGTAGGTGCGCAATGCAGCTCCAGCTTAAAGTCGCAACTTTTCAATACCAAGCTAAGCTACTAGCGCGGTGCTCAAAAAGTACCTCCCCTTATAATCGAAGCCTACGCTTTCGCGAATCTTGCGCGACAAACCACCCTCTTTCAGAGCATAAAGCCGCCAACTAACCCCCATAAACACACCACTAACCAACCAAGCAAATTATCAAATTGTAACCTCATCATTTTTTCAGTGCCAAACAAAACCAAAAGCAAATACTCAACTTGAAACAATAGGCTCAACAAAACACACACACAAAAGTTTCACATCACACTATTTTGCAAAATGTACTTATACAAAATTGTGGGGAAACATATATAGCTCTATGCCAGATCTTTCACACAACTTTCTCAACCTCACGATCATGTCTGGATGTTTGCCCCGCAATTGTCATTGCATGTCATCAACTTGCGCTGGAGATCCGCAAAACACTGTGGATGAACAAAGTCCTGCACCAGTTGGCATGTATGGACAGTGAGGTAAACCACCTTCTGGCTGGTGCAGGATTTTGTCCATCCGCAGTCATTGGGGGCTCTCCAACGTTCATAGAGGACATAGACAATTGTTTGCCGTTGAGCCCCCCGAAGTTCCCGTTACAAACCACACATGTAAACACATCCGTTTTTGTTTGTCGTGGAAAGACACCTTTTTGGGTTGGTCTATTGTGGACATCCATATTTCCATTTGTGCCTCACGACGCACCCTTGTCGCGTATTCCATATACTTAGGACACAAGGGTCGCGTCAGATGCTCTCCATATCTTCAGGCCAGCATGTAAAAAGTCAACTCCAGCCAGGAGCACGAAGTTAGCATGCCTAGTGTGGAGAACAGCAGTGTTTCCGTCCAACGCAATTCACCTTGCTGGTTGTCAGGGATTGTCAACGGTTTCGGGACTCTTCTAGGCAACTACAAGGGATGATTCAGTTCAGCACCATTTCCTCATTCTACTGTCTCAGATGGTTTCCACTTCCCCCCATACCACTCATCCCCGGAGGTTATTCAGCCGCCACTATGTAAACTGGGTGGTCGATAGCCCACAATTACAATCTATGTAAGGTTAGCACCCAGGGTCTAAATTCTGTTACACCGGTATGTGGGACCAATCAGGACTTGGTGCTCACGGCGGTGCGCTCGCCAGGGGCCTTCAGGACTGGTTTCTGGGGGTTTCCGGTGCCGGGATCTCCGAAAAGACATGATATTGTGAGTGCGGGGGCTCCAAACTCCAAACACCCCATTTTTGGGTTGGGCGGTAGGTTGGGAAATGGGGGGGGGTGGGGGCAAGAAAGGCAAGAGCCAATGGGGCGTGAACATGGGAGAGGTCGTGCCCGAAAGGCTCCCTCATTGGTGGTTGGCCCCATAGGCACGCCGAGCGACCGCTGCAATGCGACCTGGAAGTGGTGAGGATTGCCATGGCTTCCGACCCCAAGGCTTTCTGCCACTCTGGGAAGCTGGCTCGCAAAGATCCGGAGTTGGCCACTTTGGCCGTCAACGCCAACCCTGAGCTCCTTGCATTTGTGCACGCAGATCTTCTGAAAAGTGCCGACTTTGTGGAGCCGCATGTGGCGCGGCATGGCCAGCTTTTGCAGCACACTTCCGCGAAGCTGCAAAAGGCAACTATCAAAGCGGCAGTGTCTCAGAATGGGCTGGCCCTTGAGTTTGTGAAGAAAGAAATGGTATGTTGCGAAAGACACCTTGACAACGATGCGGAAATCGTGCTGGCTGCCGTGCAGCAGAACGGCATGGCCCTGAAATATGCGTCGACGGAGCTGCGTGCAGATGCACAGGTGGTCCGTGTTGCAATCCAACAGGACTTGAAAGCAGCAAAGTTCATAGAAACTTAGTTGCGCAAAGCTGACCTTTTAACATTTTGGTTTCCCTGGCTTGGTCCATAGCTAGTCAAGGTTTCAGAAGGTTAACCTTCTATTTTGGGCAAGTAAGGAAAGCAAGGAGGCCATATATCGGGCCGTCCGTGATCAGCCTCACGCGCTCAAGTATGCCCAGCCGGTTTTCCGCGATGATGCCGAAGTGGTGGAAGCCGCCTTTGCCAAGGATCCCGAATGCCTAGCTTTTGCGTTCAAGCAAGCAGCTCTTCAAATTGTGAGGCATAAACCTGATACCTTCAAATATTTGAAGGCATCTTTGAAAGAAGATCCAGATGTGCTTTCGATATTGGGACAATAGCATGGTACTTAGTCTGTGCTTGCATTTGCAATGATGTACGCCTGAAGGCGAGGTCAAGGGAACGGGATGAGTTCAGCCAAGAGCATGTGTACAGCATGGCATGTACAGCCAATCGCATGAGCTCAGAGAAATCGGCATGACTTGAAGTTTGCACAGCTGACTTTTGCAGAGCCCTTTGCATCTTGTCAGTTCCCCCCGCTCGAAACGCTAATGCAGCTTGTGTATGTGTAACAACAACGCTGTGTCGCCTGAGGGAACGCCATAACGTGTTTGTCAGGATCGTGGTCAATATACTTTTCTGCATGCTTCATTGCACACGTCGGCTTCAGGTGTTGTTCTTGGCTATCAGGTGGTGGGTATACACACCTTCGGCGTGTTCGTGAATGTGTTCCCGTCATGGGGCCCGCGCGCTCAGAGAGCGAGAAACAGACCAGGGGAAACGTTGGTCACGATTAGCGTGCCAAACGCCGAGGCTTGATTCCGTGCTTTCTGGGAATTGGGGAAACAGTTCAAACATGTAGTTGAGGTCATACCACTGGATCCCAGTGCAACTGTTGCCAAGGTGAGCGGCAGCCGGTGTTTGCATTGCTGCTTGGCGATTTACCCACAGCTTCTGATGCTTGGAGTGGTGCTACCCGTGAAGTCAAAACAAGTAGCCGCTACCACGCATTCTTTGGCCCTGCGCTTGGTCAGTGCGCGTTGTGAAGAAAATGTAGTGCGTACTGCTTTGCGTCTTTTCCTGTGAAAAGAAGCAATTGGAGAGGCAAGGTAGTGCGGGTCAATGTAGCTGGCCAGCGTTTCCTCAGTGTGGGGCGTGACTTTGAAGGCTTCACAAGAAGGAGTTTGCTGGTGGCTTCGCGCAAGATCCAGAGAAGGCGTGGATGGTGTAATATCGCAGCATATCGCGACGGAAGACATGCTTGGAGATTCTGATGAGCTTGTGCTTGTCTCGGTCTTTGTTTGCTATTGGCTTGCTTGCTTGTTTGTTTGCCTGTTGGTTGGTAGGGCATTGCGTGGCAGGCAACCTGAGCCTCACTGGGTCCAACTGACTTCGACACATGCACCCAGGTACACTTGAGGTGTGGCAGCGGCACCAACATGAGACGGCATACGTTGCATTTTTGTGACTTTCAGTTGCAGAGTGGCGCGCGCAGATTTTGAGCATTAATTACGAGTGTCGCGTGACATATTCTGGTGCACATGCGCAATGAGACAGCGCAAAGCTGTGGAGCAAAGCGCGCGGCGGGACTGAACTTGCTCAGCAGAATCGCAACCCTCTGCGGGGATTGGCGCGGTTGATGTGCAGCAACTGGTTTTGCAAGTTTTTGTGGCTCCCGCGCGACCCTGTGCGGGGGGATCAGTGGGGTGGAAGTCCAAACAGCTGGAGGCGGAGATCGTGCACGTCGGACGCACAAACAAGTGGAGAATCGTTTTTGTGAAGCTCGGATTTGGGTCCGAAAGTTTGTTTGGCGGGTCGCCCAAGTTTGGAAGCGGGTCCCGGGCTCGAATCCCCCTTGGTCCACCATGGCGATTCGCGCGGAAGCTTGCAGACAGAGCTTGCAGAGCGAGCGCAGAGAACTTGGTAGAAACTTGCACGGCGAGCTTGCACCCAGAGCTTGCGGCAGAGAATGTGCAAAGGGAAGCTGCGAAGAAGCGTACTCTTGTTGATTGTAACTTTTGCGTTTACAGCTGCGATCTTCCAACCGGAGCTGAGATCCTTTGTGCAAGCTTCTCAGCGCACGTCGCTCTACGCAAGTTCTTTGTGCAAGTGTTTTTTTTGCGCATGTGTCTCGGTGCAAGTTTTGTCTGCTCATGTCTGCTCAATTCTCCATGCTAAGTCCCTGTGCAGTTTCTCTGCGCTCTGCAAGTTCTCTGCGTCAGGTCTCTGCGCAAGTTCTCTCTGGAAGTTTCTCGGTGATCTCCACACAATGATTCTCTGCGCAGGTTTCTCTGCACGAACCTCCCGACTTTCACAGAGGAGTTGGGTAGAGACAGCGTCGCCACGATCATTCCGTCGGCCCACACGTCGTCTAGTGTGTTTTGGCAGAGCGGGGTCTGTTTTAGGACGACGATGGTGACAACAACCATGATGATGATGATGATGATGATGATGATGATGATGATGATGATGATGATGATGATGATGATGATGATGATGATGATGATGATGATGATGTTGAGAAATCTGGAATGGTCGCAGCGTGGCTGCTTTGGGTTTCGGAGTCGGTTGGAAGACTTGACGGGGCGAAAACATTTCATGCTTCATCACATATGAACCTTGGCCAAAACCTATCCAGCAGTTTATGGCCTAGGCGGGGGAGACCTATGTGGCGCCCTCCATGGCACGAACCACAACAAACAGCCTAAACGGCCAAAACGAACTACTCTAACAATTCATCCTTTATCATTCCCAGGCACGAACCACAGCAACATTTTAAAACGAACAGCCCAAACCCGAATGACACTCAACAAACTTGGCTGGACCGTAAGTTTTTTCTCCAACAATTTCTTCTTTTCAAGCTTTTCCTTCCAAAAGCCTCTTCTGCCTGGACCCGCGCCACTTTCTGGCAAGAGCTCTTTTAAAGAAGATCCTGCACAGAGCGCTTCCTGCCCGAGAAAACTTTCAACCAACTGACACTTCCTGCCCAAGGGGCTTTCCTGCAAAGAAAAGTGCCCGATTTGGCTTTGGGTGCGCCGCGCGCCTTTTGCTACCTACCGATCAACACACTGCGACTGATGGCGAGGTATCGGTCCTGCCTCTCTTCTGCCTGATGGTTCCGTTCCCGCATCCTATTCCCTAAGTGAGCTCTCGGTTACACCTTTACAGCTCTTGCAGAACCGGGGAGGGGTTGTGTCAGGCCGTGCTTGAAGGGAGTGGGCTTTCTTCTTGGTTCGACCGCCAGCCGTGGCCAGGCCATCCGCGGAGGGAAGATCAAGGTCCGGAAGCTGGCGCCGCGGCCTTGGCTTTTGCTCGCGAGCGAGAGCCCCCAGAGCTCTTTTTTTTTTTTTTCTGCCTGCGGCGGCGGACTCCCGTTCTTTTTTGGGAGAGCGGCTTTTTGCAGAGCAGTAACCTTCGGAACGTCTTTGCGGGGATCCATGGGTACCTTCCAGGGGTGCCAGTCCTTCGGAGCGTCCCTTGGGCCTCCTGCGGATCTTTGGTTCGGCCAAGGACCAACCAGCGCGGCGAGCGTTGGCCCAAGGACTGAAGCCGTGCAACCGGAGAGTGGGTGCGGCTCTTTAACTGCTCCTTTGGACAGATTCCTGCAGCGGCAGCAACAGCAGCTTTTATAGTCAGGGTTGGACACGTTACAGTGAAGCAGCTCTCATCTTCTTTCCACTTCTTGTGCTTCGCACGATGCGCTGTGTCATGCCCCCTTCTGTGAAGGGGTCCTGGTGAGGCACGCGGAAGTCCTTGCTTTGTCCTGGCCACCCGTGGTCTTGCACCGGCCCGCTGAGGCTCAAGGTGACAATGAAGTTGCCAGTCTGAAGCGCGCATTATGCTCAAAACAGCGCGCTGGTCTCGCAGTGTCAGGGGCGTCGGTGTCCTTTTTCGGTCGGTTTGGTCGAGAACAAATGGCTCGTTTCAGTGGGGCGGCCTAAGCATTTGCAAGTGACATCCATTTTCCCAAAAGGACACCTATGGCCAGTGGCGTTTGCGTTGGGCTTCGGGGCTGTTGCAGCTTTGCATGCTTCGATGCGTTCGTGTTTCCTGTGTAGGTTTTTCATCAGCAAGGTTCGGTTCCTTTCGGGGACCCACATCCCTGAGCTGTTGTGCGCAGTGTTCAGAGCTTGGCCCAACCTGGCACTGGCGAGATTTCAGTCAATGGACGCCCGCATGGACTCCTTGTTGAAGGTGAGAGTGTTGGAAGGCTTGTCCTGCGAGGTGGAGTATGAAGTGGAGGCCGGTTCAGATTTCGGGCACCAAACTGTTTGGGTTTCTCGATTTGAGTCGCCCGGACATGGGTGTGTCGTTTTGTTCCTGTTTGTGGGCTTGATTCTGGAGGGAATTTGGCGGGAAGCCCAAAAATGGGGGGGGCTCCCCTCCCCAGGAGACAACCCCATAAGAACCCTGCAAGCTACTGCAAGTTGACAGAGCGCAAAAGGGTTGCCCAAAAGGAGGGTGCTGAGAATGAGGTCGCGCTGTTTTTTCGGGCCTGCCACGTCAAACCTGGCAGATGGACCGCCACTCTGTGGCTTTTGCGCTGATGTTGGAGATCCGGAGACGCACTGGGTGGCACTGGCGTCGCCAGAAGCTCATCAACCAGGCCACCCGCCTGGTGATAGGCGAAGGCAGGGCAGGGTTTTGGGAGGGAGTGAACAATAACTCCTGAGAGTGCGGCCTTTGGTTTCCCCCCTTTGGCAACCTGCAAGCAGTGGCCTGCGGCTGTTCTTGTTTTTGGCATAAGATCCATGTCAGGTGTTAAACCTCGTCAGTGGTAGCCAGCAGCAATCAGCAGGCGCCTTCTTGAAGGGCCAGGGTACAAGTACGTCAAGTAAGACGGTTCGCAACCATACCCCCCCCCTCCCTCCCTCCCTCCCCTCTCTTTTTCTCCTTCTTGCTTCCTCCTGCCCCCATGGTTTCAAAGTCAGCCCCCCTCTCCCCAGTGGTAGGTCAAAGGCCTGCCTTTGATCCCCAGAAACGGACACATGGGTATGGGTCAAAATTAAACGACCAGGGGACCGCAGGTTTTAGTCATTGGCTGTACCAGGGTTCCGTTTCGGGTACCGTTTTTTGACCCACAGCCCACATGATCCCAGCCCTTGGTGCGTCCCGGATCTCGGTGGACTCGGAGGCACCCGCCTGGACGAGCTCTTCCCGGGCGAGGAGGCGGAGATCCAGCTGCTGCACTGCGACAGCTCCCAACTCGCGCCCATCGAGGACCGGGACGCCATGGAGCAGATGGTGAGGCGCGCGCCGGGCACCGGTGCCAACGACTCGGGGGGGGGGGGACGGTGGGTTGAGCCTTTTTCGTTGCAAAGGCGTTGGAAAGAAGCCGCGGGAGAGGGGGGCGGGGAGGGTTGGACTTTGGATTGTAGGTTCCCTCTTGACGCTTCCATGTTCGTGTGTGGAGCTTTCGGATCTTGAGGATCCGTTAGCTTCAGATATTGTCTGATTGAACAAGCCATTGGATCCCCTCGACTTGAAAGAAGACATGGGGATAGGAACCCCGCGGAACGGGTTCCGCAGCGCTCGGTGAGGGGCAGTGCCTGTGGATCGTTTTGTTGGGTGCATCCTTCTTAGGATGGTCGCCTTTGCGGGAGTGTTGGAAGGGGAAGTCAAAGGCACACCGCCCAATTTGAGAGCTCCATATTTGGGTCGGGATCCCCTTAGAAGGGAAGGGAAAAGGAATCTTCTGCTTTTGGGGGTCACTATATTTTCAGCCAAGGACGGCCTCAGGTAAGCTTTCGTTGCGGTTCGGCGAAGGGTGGTTGCACCATATGAGACAATGCGAGCCACACATTGCAGATTCCTTGGCTTTTCTTTCCACGGAACCGGCTTCTCGATATTGAGAAACATGATGGTCATGTTGGACACCCGTGCCACTTTTTTGGAAGGGAAATGAAGATTCGGATAAACGGACACGTGTCAGCAATAGCGGCCATACAACAGATGGCAACACCTCCCAGGCTGTCCCTGGATTCGCTGAAGTATGCTTCAAAGGCGCTGAAAGCCGACAAGGAGCTGGTGATGATGGCGGTGCGCTTGCCAGGCGCCTTCAGGCGAGGCCGGCAAACCCAATCTGGGTGTGGCATTTGCTGAAGGTTCCCTCTCTCACCCCGTCGCATGAACACCTGATAGAATGTTCTCAGACGGCGTGCCCCTTGACATCGCACGTGAAGAGAAGCACATGTCCGCCATGATCCAAGGTTGGCTAGGTTCATTTTAATTCTGCTGGTTGGGGGAAACATGGCACAGGTATTTGCACTGCGAGTGCTTGGCCAGGTACGCCGCGCCTTTATGTCAGAATGACCTGGACGTTGCCCGCATCGCCATCGCCGGTTGTCCCCAGATGTTCCGCTTCGGAGGGAGGACGGTCCGTAGGGACCATGCCATAGCCAGCATGGCCGTGCAGGCGGACCCGGGCAACATCAGGTTCGTGAGCCCTGACCTCCTCCGGAACAGGAAGTTCGTGCAAGAGCGCGTCGAGAAGGATGGCCTGGCCCTGGGCGCCACGAATGCGAGGGTGCCCAAGGAGATAATCATGGCGGCGGTGTCGCAGAATGGGTTGGCCCTGAAGTTCGTGGCCAAGAAAGGCGTGGCCGCCAACCCAGAACTCGCCAAGGATGAAGAGGTAGTTATGGCGGCCGTGCAGCAGAATGGCAAGGCGCTGAAATTCGCTCCCGACGCCCTGCGTTCGAAGACGGAGATTGTTCAAGCCGCTGTCCAGCAGAACCCCATGGCAGCGAAGTTTGTAGACGGCAGGGAGGCTGTGTTGGAGGCTGTCCGTGCTCAGCCAAAGGCGCTGAGGTATGTTCACCGTCAGTTCCGCGATGATCCTGAAGTGGTGGAAGTTGCCTTTGCCAAAGATCCAGCAACCCTGGTCTTTGCCTTCAAGACTGCGATGCTTCATATGGTGGGCGCCCATGACGATGTTTTGAAGTTTGCCAAGAAATCGCTGCAGGAAGATTCAGATGTCTTAGCAAAGTTGGCGACAAAAAGAGGTGGACATTGATTGAGTCAACCAAAGTGAACTGCGACTGTATTGCCGCTTCTTCCTTGCAGTCCTGGTAATGGCGACAGGCAAGGAATCCTCAATGAGGATGAGCCAGGATGAGCGTGACCGCTTGGAGTCGATTGACACTCCGAAAGTCGCCCCTCTGCGACTTCAGTGAGCAGGGGTTGGTGACTGTACAGGCCCCGTCGCAGGACATGCCCTGTCTGGGTGAGGAGTGAAAGGTTGCGGCTTCTTGGGATCGTGGCCACTTGGGATAAATGTCGCAGACACCAAGTGAGACCACTTAGGGGGAGAAGCTAGCATACCTCCAACCACTAAGAGTCCACCCCTTTTGTGGAAGACTGTGCGTGAAACTACGTAGCCCATCCACAATCAGCATGCCCCAGTTTCGCTGGTTGCAAGGGTGCTCCTCACATTGATCATGTGAGCAACGGACGATATTGCCAGGGTGCTATCGGTTTTGCGTAGAGCCCTATCAGTTTTTGGGTTTCTGGGCATTACGTGGAAGCCGGCCAAAGAGCCAAGGATGATGGAAAACCATCCTTTCTTGACATGCAGCTAAAGACTGCCCGTACCGGTTAGCAGAGGCCGCCCGGTTGCTTCAAAGCACCGCTAGCTGCGCTTGACAAAGCTCGGCCGCCTCTTGGCTCAGTGCGGGAAGGCGACTGCGGCAGCGCAGCCCGCAGGCTCCGGACCCGTGTGAGGAGCGCTTGGTAGCTGGCCGTTCAAAATAAAACCTGGTTGATTACTAGGGGATGTCCGGATCGTTCAGCAGCTCCTTCACTTTTGGGGGCACTAGTCCGGGGTTTCTGAAGACAGAGAGCCCCACCTAACCTTCTCAGGGACCCAACATCTACACATCCAGGATGCTGTGTGTGTGCGCGTTTCCTGCGCCAGGCACATGGCAGATGACTAGTGACCACGACCAGGCGCAGCTTGTGAAGGGTGTTTGTTGGGGGACATGGGAGCGAGCCACTTGTTGGTTGGCTGTTTGCGAAAGCCAACAGGAGCCAACTTGTTTTTTTGGTATTTCCCAATTGTGGTGCTGGCTTTGTTCCTGTTGCCAGCCGTTTTACAGTATTTCCGTGATGCATCACAGCAGTTGGCTTGATTCGGGTTGGAGGTGCAGTTGCCCCACTGTCCAGAAATGATGCCGTGGGCAATCGGTGCGACTTGTTTTCGCACAGTGGTGAGCGGCACGAAGCAACCATTTCCCCCAGAAAGGGCACCAACCTTTTTTTAAAGAGGGGTCAATGAATCATTGGGCCGGGAGGGACATTTTGCGAGGCGCCGCCAAGCTTGGCAGCCGGCCGGCGCCGCCGCAAGGTGGGATGTCTAAAAAGAGGGTGCCACTTTCTCTGGAGTTGGTTCAAAGGAAATTAAAGAAGCAGTGCATCTTGTCGGCCACGTTGAGGCAAACCCAGTGAGAACTGGCTCAAGCCTGGGGCTTCTTGACCAGGAAATCCCCTTTTGGCAGGCAGGCAAATCGCAGGGCCTTGCAAATACGCATTTGCCGCAGTTGCTGTTTTGCCAGCACTGGTGCTCGACCGCAGGTTTTGTTTGGGGTGCCTTCAGCCCCGGCAGTTCCCATATGGGGTCGTTGTGCCTTGCCCCGGCCAGCGGGGGAACCAGGCTTCCAAAAAATGCTCGTGGTGTCACAACTGAGGCAAAGCCAGGCAAGGCAGCGCCGAGCGTGCGCCTGGCAGGTTTGCGATTTTCAGGGTTTCAGGGGGGGGGGGGGTGAGGGTGATGTCAGGGGGCGAAAGTGTGTGTGTGTGTGTGGGCAAGGACGTTTTGGTCAATCACGGGAATCCCGGAGCGTGTGATCTCAGACTTGCATTGATTGAACAGCTGGATGGCGCTATTGTTGCAGCCTCCCGTGACCCCTTCAGAATCTCACAAGTTCTTTCCAGACTCTGCCACCTCCCCCCTTTGCTGAAACATATCCCATCCACCATCCAGCTTTCTAGAATGTTCCCTCACAACCATCCAATCAAACCTGTGCAAATGACAGTGGCGAGAGAAGTGTTTCCAACTGCCTGGGCTGTTCGTAGGTAATCCTTAATCCTTACCTGGGGTTGCGCAAAGGGTCGCATTTGTAGTGGCTTTCCTATAGGGATTATGGAAAATCGGACTGGCCAACCCTCCATTTTGAACAGCCCAGACTGCTTGGAATACGTTTTGGGCGTCCAACGTGGCCATGGATTTGCGGGGCAAGCGGGCGGTGGTCACTGGCGCCTCCGCTGGCATCGGGCGCGAGCTTTCGCTGCAGCTCGCGGACCGGGGCGTGGCCAAGGCGGTTTTGATTGTTCTGTTCTTAATTTCATTGATGCAATGTAGGTACAACATGTATTCATGCCACATATATATATATATATTTATACATGTACACTGACATATTCTTGTTATTTCATGTTATTTGTGTTATTTTTGGTTTATGTATTTGTTTGGGCATCTCCTTTGTTTGTCTTTTTTTAAGTTATTTGTGCATTCATATTATGTTGATTTATTTCTGTGTTCATTCTTTCATTATTTCATCCTTCTTCCGTTCTTGCATTCTTTCATTCTTTCATTCATTCATTCTTTCATTCATTCATTCATTCATTCATTCTTTCATTGTTTCTTTCTTTCTTTCTTTCTTTCTTTCATTCTTTCATTCTTTCTTTCTTTCATTCTTTCTTTTCTTTCTTTCTTTCATTCTTTCATGTTTTTCATTTCATTCCATTTCATCTAATTTCATTCGTTCGTTTGTTTTTTTTGTTCGTTTGTTCGTTCGTTCGTTCGTTCGTTCGTTCGTTCATTCATTCATTCATTCATTCATTCATTCATTCATTCATTCATTCATTCATTCATTCATGTGTTTTAGATGTATATATATATACATGTACATATATATATATATACATATACATATATATATATATATACATATTTTTCTGTGTATGTATGGATATTTATTTTGTTGATTCGTGTATTCATTTCTTTCTTTTGTTATTTTGCATGTTCACTTAACCAAACACACAAACACACGGTTAGTAAGGGACGATCCCAACCGTACATAGCTGCGGCCGCCTTCTTAATTCTTACATGGTTCTGGCGAGCCATTTTTGTACCGGGTTTTGATTATGCCTCATATGTTTTGCAAGCCTAGCATGGAAAAGACCTCCAAAACAAATACTCGCACCCACACACACACACACAGAAAAGGGGTGGCCCTCTTGGCTGCATCGCTGGAGGCTGGTCACTTTGGACCCCTTGATGGCTATGGCCAGAATTAAGGGGACGCTGCAGATTCCCACGCAGATCTAACCTTCCTCCTCCCCCACAAACCTAACGCCTACCAACAACCAAAACGTGCACCACACACAAATGAACCAGTCATTTTACAACCCCCCCCACCCCCACATAATAAAGAAGGAACCACAAATCTCTGACCTTGAGGTCTCTGGGTCCCAGAGGTTGGTCGGTCCCTGCTTCAGGTGGCGCTGCTGGCGCGGCGCACGGACTTGCTGCAGGAGGCGTGACCTAGCCCCTAAAACCCAGGCATCACACATGGCTGGTGTCCTTTTGGCCTCTTAAAGCAACGCCATCCAACGGGGCAAACAAAACCCTGCAAGCCCATGGTGTTGATGACAACCCATGCTCTTCTGGGTTACCACGGCTGCTCGGCAGGTGGCGGCCGAGTGCTCCGCCAAGGGCGCCAAGGCTCTGGCGGTGCGCTGCGACGTCACGGACCGCAGCTCCTGCGAGGCCGCGGCCAGGGAGGTGCTGGCAGACCTCCAGCAGGCGAAGCAGCCGCATTTTTTTTGGTGGTATCTTTCTCAAGTCGGGTTCAAGGGCACATCGGCACCTAAATCCCAATTTTTTCCGGTTGGGTTCTCCTTTGGAGATGGTCCAAGCCCGTTGACGGGCTCTTTTTCTGGCTCCGGTCATTGGGAATTTGAGTGTGTGATGTTCACCGAAGGGTCCCAAATGAAAATACGACCAAGTGCGAGAAGTCACCCTGACTTCGTCCAGGGGACGCACCTGGCAGTTTCAATGGAACCCGCCAGTCAATTGATCAACCTTTGTGGTGAAAATCCAGTGACCCCTGTTACCATTCAAGTTTCCTAAGGGTGGCCAATCTCTCGTGAACACGGCCCCGGCAAAGATTTGCAATTGACTAGTCACGGCTGTTGTGACTTGGTGAGCCACGGGATGGCAACCTTCTTTTCGGGTTGCGTGACCTGCGACTGCAGGTGGACGTTCTCATTTTGAACGCTGGCATGAGCATGGGCTGCTACTTCGAGGATATCAAGGACATGTCCGACGGTGAGAAGTTGATGAACCTCAACGTCATGGGCGTGGCCAACGTGCTCCACTACTTCCTTGCCTCGATGCCCAAAGGCAGGCAATTGATCGTTGAGCCCCGATCCCTCGCAGTTGGCTAATTGAGCTGACGGTCCTGGGTGAGAAAGAGAGCTTGGGGAGAATGCCCGGCCGATAGCATGTTTAGGTTGCATAGTTTTCCACAGTGGTTATACTGGTGACAAGGGTCCAAGTTGGGGAGCCTCAAGAGTGGCAGCAGCACCCATTTTGCTTTCCCTTGCGCATTCCCAAAATGACAGAACCCCAATTTCCTTCGAATTCGCAGCGCGTTTGTTCTCTCTGTATCTAAGAAATTCATAGGGGGGTTTTGGAAGACTTATTGAACAGCTCTGTCCTCTTCCGTTGGGAAGAGCTCCCAAAGCTCCCCGAGTCCGCGACTCGCGGATCGTGGTGGTCAGCTCGGTCTCGGGGGTGGTCGGGGTGCCCTTCCGGACCTTTTACTGCGCCTCCAAGTGGGCGCTCCACGGCTTCTGCGCGGCGCTCCGCGCCGAGTTTCTGGAGGTCGGGGGGGGGGACCGGGCATTTGGCCAGTTGGTTTGTTGGTTTGTGTGTGACTTAGCTTGCTCGCGCGCTCGCTTGGTGTGTGGGTCCGTGTGAAGCTCCGTGAACGCCTTGCTCCAACATGAACTGCTGTTTTGGAAGACTATTTGTTCCAACCTACCTAATTGCGGGAAGGCATCACTTTTGGTGTCCTCCTGGACGCTTGACTGTTCACCAGCACTAGGAACAATTGTTGCTGTACTCTAACTATTGCTGCTGCTGCTGCTGCTGCCACTGCTGACACTGCTGCCACTACAGATGCCTCTTCCACTGCCACTGCTGCAGCTACTGCTTGTGAAAATGGGTTCGCAGCTGCTTTTGCCACCACTGCTACTTCCCGCACTTCTACTTGTACTTCTACTGCTACTGCTACTCCTACTATTCTTACCTCTGCTACTCCGGCTACTGCCACGCTACTGCGATTGCTGCTGCTTCTGCTACAGAAGCAGCAACAGCAGCTGCTACTACTACTACTACTACTACTACTACCACGACTTCGACTAATGCTACTACCACTGTTGCTGCTGCTGCTGCTGCTGCTGCTGCTGCTGCTGCTGCTCCCCCTGCCCTTGTGAATGCAGCATATATTGCTGCAGCAATCCTTTCTACCATTCTCAATGCTGGGACCCTGAGGCCTATGGGCCGGACAAAGCGCCCAAGGTGGTAGTGACCTGCCCCCCGGAAGTGGGCACTAGCCTTAACACCAACCGCCTGAAGTTCGGCAACGAGGCGGGCTTCACTTCGGAAGAAGGCATTGTTCCAAGCTGACGTGCCTTGCTGGTTGCCCTGTTTCAGTTTGCAAGTCCTGTGAGGTCCTTCCTGTCGGAATTCATTAAAATGCAAATGCCCCCGCTGCGAGCATGCAGGAAACGGCGCAGTTTGACCAGAAAGCCGCCCTGCCTGTGCCAGTGGCTGCGCAAATGATCTTGGACGGAACTGTGAAAGGGGACCGGCACCACTTCTTCGCGAAGTTCTGGAGCTGGATTCACACGTTTTACCCGTGTTGCCCCGCCCGCATTGAGGACCTGATAGTGAAGGGTGTGAGGAAGTCACACAAGGCCCCACGATACGGAAATATGTAGGGCTGACCGCTCACGACGTGAGGTCACGTGTTCGACACGTTGCATGTGCCGGCGTCCTCGACGTGTGCCTTGCATGAAGCGGTATGAGCGATGGAAAACACTGCGTGAGACTGTGTGAGATTGCGTCGGGAGTCAAAGCATGGAGCCAGTTTTCTCCCGGTTTGCCAGCTGATCCATATGAGAAATGTGGCAACATGAGCTCGGATTCCTCTGACATGCAGGGGGCTGATCCGTGTAAAGGTGAGAAATGTGGCAACAGCTCGGATTCCTCTTGTCGGCCACGCGGGCTGGTATTGGTTGCCAGCTCGCCAGGTTTCTCCGCTGTGGAAGACCCGCCTATGCGAGTTTTGGCAGGCGGGAGCTCCGCGTGTAAAAGGCAACCCCCCATCGAGAATCATCGAGGACATCTCCCGGTTTGACCCATTCTTGTATAGCTCCTTGGTGCTTCTTGATTCAGTTCGTCTTGCTTGCTTGCTTGCCTTGTCAGTCTTGCAAGGCCTTGCCTTGCTTGCTTTCAGGGCGCTGGGAATTCCTGCAATTCCACTTGTGCGGGCCAGGTGGGCAAGTGCCGCAAGGGCTCGTCTTGCTCCTATGCGCATGGCGAGGACGGATCGGGCAGGCAACGTCCAGCTCCAAGGGTGTCTCCTGATTTTCTTCCGCGCAGTATGCCATGTAATTTGGCAGACTTTTGCCTTGCTGCTCATTTTGGGGGGCCAGCCAGGCTTGTGTTTCCATACCTTCAGCTCCCAAGGCATCAGGCGCTCTCCCCATTCAATTTGTGGCCCAAAAAGAATGACGAAAAGCCTGAAACGCAAACTCAAAATTCAAATTGGCATTTCCAGAGCGTGCTGCTGCTTAAAATAACCACCTCTCCATTGGAAGCCCATTAAGGCCTCGGCCAGCACGAATAAAACAGCTGCCCAAGGAATCAAGGAACATCACCTTTTCCAATGCCTCGGGCTACATCGTTGGATGCTGGTCATGCCGTTTTTGGAAGGGGTCTCCATTAGCCAGACCCAGCTCCAAGCCAAAGGCCGCGCGCTGCACGCTCGAAGACCACCGAGACAGAGCGAGAGAGAGAGAGAGAAGCGGAAGCTCCATTAAAAAGAAAGGAAAAGGAGAAAAAGAAAGAAATCAAGAAAGAAAGAACGACCACGCGAAATTCAAAGCGATGTGTGCTTTTCCGATGCATGGCCATCTCGCCCGTCCAGCGCAGACCCTCACGACAGGAGGATCTGCGACCTTCCCCGGACTTCGAGCGCACCTCCGTTTGCCCGGCGCGGGGCCAAACAGCAGAGGGGGTCCCTGGATTTCCCCTTTTGGCGGTTTTAAGCAGCTAAGCGCTTTTCTATGGTTTTATTAACAAACACGATATGTTTGAGACTTGTTCCAAAAACACCAAAAAAACCTCGAGAAAACCTCGAGAAAAAAGATCAGAAAGAGAAAAACAAGACAGACTACCCCCTTTCCCACGCCAGGACATGTGACACAGTCTCGTGTCTTTTTTTTTCCCTCGAGGTTTGTCACACTTTTCCCAAAACATCAACAAAAACCTAGAGAAAATCAAAAAACACAAGAAAACAAGAAAACCCAGAAGACCAAGACTATGCCACATGTCCTGGCTTGGGGGGGGGGGGGTAGGCTTTATATTTCTCCTTCCTTTTTTCTTTTTTCGAGTTGTTTTGCATTTCTTTGAACAAATGTGAAAAACCTGGAGAAACCAAGAAAAATAAGACTCTGTCAACAGTCCTGACTCAAGGGCACATAATATGTTTTTGCTTGGTTGTCTCGAGTTGTTTTTTGTACTTTTCCGTTTCCGGCCTGTTTGCAAGAGCTTCGGTGATCAAGTGCGCTGGTGTAGTTCACATCCAATCCCTAGTACAGTAAGGTAGAGATGGTATCCTCTGGTTGGACTCGTTCCTTATTACATTCTTCTTATTTTTAATTGGAACTATACAAGTAGAACTTGATAAATATTCAGTAGCGTTCATAAGAAAGAAGTAGTTAGAGGTCCCAAAATTGCTGAGCTGTTCAAATGCCTACTGATCTGCAAAGACGATTCTATTGGACAGGAAATCCTGTGTAGCATCCTCTACCTTAAGCCAATACTTATGTTTGGATTCTTTCCTTATTAAATTATGTTGAACGTGAGTTCAGAATTAAGTAGAACTTGATACATATATTGAGTAGAATTCGGAAGGAAATAACTTGGAGATTGCGATCATGTTTAAGACATGTTGTTTAGATGCTTACTGATTTGTAAGGACAATTCTATTGGAAAAGGAATTCCCGTGTAACATTTATGTTGAAATAGATTAATCATAGTTGAAAGTCTAATTTAAATTATACACTTTGATTGGAGTCTTTCCTTAATCATTTCTAGTTAATTGCAGTTAGGCATTGGGTAGAATTTGGTAAAGATATTAAGTAGATTTCAGGAGGAAAGAATTCAGAGGTCCTATTTTGTGTGTGTGTTTACTAGCCCCAGAACTACATTGGTCAGAAAACATCGTAAACCACAGTGTTTTGTAGCGTTTTCCGTACTCAATTCACATCTCCACCAACGGCCACTCTCTAACATTCACTTTGAATTTGAATAGGATTTCAATAGGACTCAACAAGGACATACTTGGTCAGAATCCCACTGGGAATTACATCTTACATTTAGAAGTTAGATGTACATCCTTTCCCAATAGAACATTGCAATTAAATTAGAGTTTGAAAGTAATTTGATAAGTAATGAATCGAATCACAACTTCTGTTTCATAATAGAATTTGAATGAACATAAGTCCATTTTAATTGATAGTTTGCACAGTATGTTCTTTCCAACCGAGTTTCTTTACAATTCAGCTGACATTTAAACATACATTATGCAAACAAAGTTCAACTCGAGTTTCCACTCAAAAATGAACAAACACATCGCAGGCTCACTGCGACCCGCTCTCCATTTTATTTTTATTTTTACTTTTTTTTTTTTTTGGGGGGGGGGGGGGGGTAGGTGTGGGGGCAATATACGGATTCCTGCAACATGGAATCTGACTGAAGGCCCCTGGAAGACCAAGAATTCTTGGATTCAGCTTGTGATATCGAAGAAGTGCAGTCGCCACAGAACCTGAACCTAGTAGAGCCAGCCCCTGCAAAGTCTTAACTCTGAACACGGGGCGAGGACACTGAAGCCAGCATGTGCTACTCGGGCTTGCAAATTCAATTCAACACCTGGCAGGTGTTTGTCACCTCCTTTGCCCTCAAAGTCACCCGCCAAGCTGGCTTAAGGGGAAATTCACTTTGGCCGGCCTGCAACGCCCGGGTGTCCGCCTACTGGCATGCCCAAGGCGTTCCTGCACACCAACCGATGCGACAAGCCCGGGTGTCGCTATGCGCATTCCGTGGATGAGCTTCGGGTGGCGCCAGGGGCCAAGAGGTGACCAGAGAGCTGCGAAGAGCAAGTCGCCCCCTTCTGGACGACTAGTGACTAGGGGGTGTTGATCCAGTCCAGACGAACTCGCTCGACCATGGTGATTTTGATGGACCTGACCTCAACATTGAGCGCTGGATGGTTGAGATGTAGGACTGCAATCCTTCTGCGCCACGGGTTTCCGGTTTGGAAGTCATGGGCATGCGAGGCCGAACCTGATCAAAAGCAAGATGTGCAGTTTTTTCCTGGATGGCCGGTGCCTGAGCATCTTCTTGTGCTTGGTACGAGCGCATGGGCTCATCCCAGACGGGGGGGTTCACCGGGTCCTGGGGGGTGGTGCTTTGGCTGTGGGGTCGTCAGAGGTTTTGGGTGAGTTCGCCTCAGGTCGGTGTGTGGTTGGCAAAGCGTGCCGCTTTGCCCATAGTGAAGAGGCCAGGGTGTGGCGCCGTGTTGCATCGTTCCGCTCATTGCTGGCACTGTGATAGTTCTGAAGGGCACATTACTCTGTCGCATCCCCCAAAAAGGCTTGGTTACTTGGTGGCCTACTCATTGTCCGCTGTAGCTGGAACATACCTTCTTGCAATGGGATTCCAAGGGGTACTTATTCAGTTCAGTTGCACGTGGTTCATCCCCTAGACACTTTCCACAACTCTCAGGCAACCAGCGTGCGCCAATATGCGCCACACCCAAAGGCAAGATATTGTTTTGATCAATGCATGCTGGAGTAGCGCTGACACAAGTTTCAACCATTGTCTACATCAAAGCAACTTGGGTGGGAAGAGGGATGCGTCCAAGTTGTTTGGTGGAAGTTGACACAGCAACCCGTATAGGTTCTCCCTGATGGAGTGCAAGCCCTATGTCTATGCCTTGGGGCCCTGCAGCCATGGAAAGCTCGGAACAACTCGTCCATCCGAGATTCCCAACATAGAACCCACGGCGGCCCTGTGGATTTCACTGACTGTTGCACCCTTTTGCCTCTTGAGAAGGCAGTTGACAGGTGTACTGCAAGCTAGCAACCTCCAGGTTTGGTTCACCTCTGGGTTGAAGGCTGCCTTGGGTAATGTTCCATGAGTCTTGCCAGGCAGTTTCCAATGCCCCAAGCCAACACTCCCTGTGTACAGTAGTGGTCATGTCGCGCCCTCCCCTCCCTCCCCCCCCCCTCCCCTCCCTCCCCCCCCCTCCTCTCCTCCCCTCCTCCCCTCCTCCCCAAGTTTCCAACTTGGAGCGGCTGTTTTCCCTTGAAAGCTGGGGCGGGGAAAGCATCTCCGCCAGGAGCTCGCTGAGGCGGCAGCATGGACCCCAGCGATGTTTCAAGCCTCGGATCAGACCTCACCGTCCCAAACTGGAACGGGACCCTAGGATCCCTAGGTGTCCTTTCGGAGAAATCGTCTGAAGTGGTTGGAGCCGGAGTAATGTCGACCAAGACCGAAATCGGAGACCTATTCAACATCGGGCATTTGCCTCGATTTCAGCAGTTTCGCGGCGAACTGGGCAAGTCAGAAGATTGAGCGGGCATCAGCTGTGTCTTTCATTCAGCTACCGGTGGTTTTGGTAGTTTGGCGTCAGTTCCACCAAGGGTGTTTGCCTGTTGACCTTCCCGTTTTGGGGTAAGACTCGTTTATCGCCCAGGCTGTGACACAGGTCCTCCCGCCACATTTGGCAGCGCAGTCCCATAG